ACAGCATATAGCTTGCCTACCATGAGCTGACCTCTCCTTGACCCTGGGAAGGGAGGCTGGTGAGGACTGATGCCACATGCAGCCCCCTGCCCCAAGCCTGGACACCGTGGACTGCACACACAGGGCCCACCTCAGAGCATCTTGGCTACTGTACACAATGTACATTTTTACACATTTGTCCTTCTAAAGATAACTTGGTATCTTAGAGTCTGTTGCCTTTGTTACTTTTTTAAAGCCAGAAAGAACAGAACAATGGAAATACAGGACTGAGCCACCTGCCAGGCCAACGGGCAGTGGGAGGAGGCCACTGCTGCATCTGGCTAGAACTGAGAACATGGGCTGTGGGCAGAAGCCAAGCACATCAAACACACACTATCCAAATCACAGGACCAGCGATGTGGAGGAGCTCCTGGTCACAGGGGAAGCAGGGAGCCGGACTGAGGACTAAGCATGCGGTCTGCGCTGTCCCTTGAAGCGAGCCGTGACAGTGCAAGCAGAAAGACAAAGCCTGGAGAACAGAGTGTGGTCAGGGTTAGGGGCAGCACGGGCAATATTGGTGGAGGCAGTGTGGGTGAGCAGGCGAGGATGAGCACAGATGGCACACGACACAAACAGTGACAGTATGGTGGGTGAGGACGGATGGTCACATGGGAACTTGCACAGGGCACCCTGGGCTCCCACGTGGCCCATACCCTACAACCTGGGGCTCAGGGCAGGCTCTGTTCGTGCTGTAAGTGGGGCCAGATGGGCATCCTGCAACCATGAACACCGGCCTCCACAGCTCCCGCTCTTCTGACCCCCAGCTTGTGCTCTTTCCACCCTTCGTAGTAAACACTGACACACCCCTTGGGCCTTGGCTAAGCTTTGCCTCCTCAGGAAGGCCTCCTATCCACCAAAGCCAGGCCAGGTCTCTTTGGGGTGGTTTCAGTTGCACCCTGACACTCAGTTGATTCCCAGCTTCACACTTGCCTTCCCCAGAACCTGCAACAGGCACCAGAATTGTCCCATGCACCCAGCACAATGCTAATGGACACTAGATAGGCATGGCCATGGGCTGGCTGAAGAACCCCACAGAAGGCTCAGCCTCAGACTGACCACAGGGCAAGACCTCTGCTCTCTGAGGCCCTTTCTGGCTCCGAGATTCTTGGCTCCGAGATTCTCGGGTAACATGGAGCAGGGCAGGCAGACAGCAAGGGTCTTGGCAGTCCAAGAGAGCCACTATGTACACATCCCAAAGGCTGGCTGAGCTGGGCCAAGTTATGGACCAAGGTGTCCTGTAACAGCCCTGCTCCATAGGCCCTGCTACCGACAAACTTCCAACAAACAAAGCAGGGAAATGCACACAGATCCAGTATCCATCAGGTCAGCGAGCACAGGACCTTCCCAGTGTTAGCCTCCTCTGGCCTGGGGTGGAAGGAACCTTAGACCCCCCAATTCTCCCTCAGCTTCACCCCAGCTACCAGGCAGCCCTAGAAGAGTGTCCAATTGCCCTCAGCTTGGCTTCCTCCCAGGGAAACAGGACCAATCGCCAAGCAAGGCAGCTATAAGGGCGGGACCACAGGCACCTCTCCCAGGGCCCAGCCCAGAGCAAGCACACACTGATATGACACGGGCACAGTTACTCACACACGTGTTCACACACTCCATGCTGGGGAAGGGTATAAAATTTGTTCAGAAATCTCATTATGCTACGTTTGAACATGAGTAAACAGCAATCATTGTGAGCCCCTTGAGGGTCACAATGTACTCCCTGCGACTCCTTTACCTTGTCAGGAAGCATCAACACTAAGGATTTCAGCACTGAGACAAATCCCAAAATGGACAGGAGAAATAAGGCAGGCTGGGAAGAGTGGTCAGGCAGGACTGCTTCATTCTCTCTCTCTCTCTCTCACCTTGGCCAGAGGGCCCCTCTTCAGGTCAGCTATGGGCACACTCTCAGCCACCCCAAGAAGGGCTAGCTTTCATATCTGACAATGATGGAGTCTCAGAGCAACTCAATGGCCAATCCCAGAGTACTTTTAGCCAGAGCTGTGGATAGGCTGCTGGAAGCTTCTAACCCTAGTGCAGGATGGCACAAGGGTGCAGATGGGACCAGTCAAGAGAGCAAAGAAGGTTTCTTCTAAGAAGCCATTATCAAATGTTGAGTTACCTACATAAAATCTGGAGCTATTTTTCTAAATCTCTTCTAAAAATTTACAGCAAATAAGAATTGACTCTAGCTGATTTTTGATTTTGAAGCTCAGGTATACAAAAGTAGAAGGGCAGCTCAAAGGTAGGGTATCCTAACCATACCTTAGGGAAGTCCTGATGCCTGGTTCCCTGTCTAGCTGATAACAAGTTAGCCTCTGACAGGCTCCAGGATACAGGAGACTTGGGCCCAGAAACCCAAAGGCCCAGCCCTGCTCAGAGGCTGCTGCTTCCAAGGACACTGCCTGTCCCTCTTCCAAAGCCACACAACTGGCCTGAGAGTGACAGGGTGCAAACTGAGGATGACAGGTCCCAGACGCGGGCTCCTCCTGCTATGCAGTGCTACATGGCCCTTGTGCCAGCTCTGATGACCTGGGGATGCCTGCGTCTAGGATGTGGTTACACTGTGCAAGCACCTTCCTTTAATACTCATGAGAAAAACGTTACTCCTGTTCACCAGGTGAAGAAACCGGCTCAGAGTCAAGTCCCTTACCCAAGGTGGCCACGCAAGGTAGCAGTGGGGCTGGGACTGAAATGCAGATCTCCCTGACTCCAACTTCCCTGTCTTACCTCGAGCGGGTCCCTGAACTGCTTCTCTTGGTCTGCACCAGGGCTAGAAGCACCCATCAGCATTCCTGTAGAAGGGCTCGGTTATGGCCTGGAGTGAGCACTAATGCCCTGTCCTCCCACAACAGGAGAGCCATGGCTGGTCTCAGGCTGAAGAGTTGTGTGGGAAGTGTGGGGCCACACGTTCTCCTCCCAGGGCTAGCAGGCCAGCCTGGCTGGGTCACAGGAGGCAGCAGAGGTGGGCAGTGCAGGCCTTGAGGCCACCAGCCTGACACCAGCAATCTGCTGCTTCTGCCAGAGCCAGGGCCTTTCCCTACGAGCTAGTGTAACAGCTGAATGGGCCACTTTAACATTCTAAGATAGGGCCCAAATATTTTCCTGTTGCAGACACTGCTTTCTTTCTGAAGTGAGGAGGGCAAGAGTTCTGAAAGCACCATGCAGCCGGGCCCGTGCAGAGCACAGTATGGCCAGTGCAGGGCTTCCTAGCACATTGGGCTGGGACTGGGCAAAGGTGGGCCATGGTTCCACATTGTTGACAGAAATCACTTTTAAAAAAGTATTCTTTTTTCAATCATTAAAAAAATGCACAACCACTGAAACTATATTTGAGCCTATCTGAATGGCTCCCTCTGCAAACTCCCAGAGCAAATAACCATTATGTTGGCATTCAAGCCATGTCACCCCAGTGCCTGTCCCCAGCACTCTGCTTCCCTGCAGCTCCATGTGCACATGTGCGCACCAACATGGGACAGCTGGGCAGCGGTGCCAGGCAGCATCATGGTCCCTTTCTGCCTCCTTTCCCCTTTGCTTCTGGGGTGTGCCCACACCAGGGGAGCTACCTGCAGCTCTGTGCACTCATAGGGCCAAGCACAGTTCCTGCTAGCCAAGCTCAGCTCGAACCTGCAATGCTGGGAGAGGTGCCGGCCACAGGCCTGTGGACAGCAATGAGAGGCGTTCCTCTCTCACAAAAGCTGGCATGATGCTAAATCTTCACAGGAGTACCTGGCAGAAACTAATTTGCAGAGCAAGGATTGATATCCAGTGTGTTTTCTCAATATTTTCAAGAGTAAAAGGTTGGGAACAGGGTAGTTTTCCTGTTGAACCCGAGTTAAGTAAGATGGGGAGGGACCTGGCTTCAGGACATGTGCAGGACTGAATCCGCCCTCTGGAGCACAGGGAGGTGATGGAGCCACGCAGCAGCAGGCATTCAGATGCGCTCAGATCAGCAACCTCTCTCTCCACACCCTCCCCGTACCCTTCTCACAGGCCAAGCAGAATCTAGGAGGGGGCACTGCCAGTCTCCTCTCCTCTCCTATCTCCAAATCCTGGCCCAGAGGGGGCGGTGGGGCGCTGCCCATCTTCCTTCAGCACTTCTCTAAACCTGCTCTCACGCTCTTCTCACCCACAACATCTTACACTCCAGGAACCCATGCGATGGGCAAGGGGTGTCCCATGCCCGGGGGAAGGTAGGGCAAGGCCCGCTTCCCCACAGCCTGACGCGATCAGCGGCGTGTGAGCGAGGGCCTGCTTGTCTGTTGGCATTGTCATTGCTTCCCCAGGGCTCCACCTTAACGCCCTCTCAATCCACCAATTTGGTTCATTCCAGCAAATACTTTATAACAGCTTATCACTGTAAAGGTGAGGAGAACATGAAAAAATCAAGCTACGAGGTCAGCATGCGAGCCTCCTAATGTTAGTAAGAAATGTGGTTCAAGGGTCGCCACCTGCCATATCCCGTGTGGGATGGCCTCGTACGCGGTCCCAGCGGACTCCACCACCCCGTCTGCACTCCCAGGGGTGACAGACTCAGCACCAGTCACAGTCCTCCCACGGCTATCAGAGGATGTGCTGTAATAAGGCAGGCACAATGCCAGTGCCACTGGACTGATTGCACGGAGGCCACTCCAAGCAGCCTGCAGACCCCAACAGCTAGTCCACGGTCTTTCCTGCCACATCCCCATTCCTGAGGTGGGAAGATGCAGGCTCATAGCTGTGAGATACCTTAGCCTTCCCTGCCCCTTACCAGCCCCCAGGTGGGCCAGCTGGCAGGTGGCGACCCTGAGCATGTTTTGGAAGCACAGAATCACCGTGAGGCCATGAGGTTAATGAACAGCCGCAACATTGCCCGTGTCACCCCAGACCCAGCACCCCCCCTCACCAAAACAAAGCGAATCATCACCCGAAGCACCCTCCCCCTTGATTGGCGTGCCGCCCTGGGCTGGCAGTAGGGAGAACAGGGACTGTACCGTCCGGCGTCGCCTGCTGGTGGGGTTTTTTACATTTGACGTAATCGTGGTCAATCGGAGTAGCTGTGTAAGGTGGGGATGTCAGACCTGGGCCAGAGGAGGAGGGGAGGGAGGCTCCGGGGCCCGGCAGTGTCCCAGCTGAAGAGTGGGAGTCCTCATCCACCAGGCAGGCCTTCTCTCTGTGGGAAGATGGTTGGGGTGCAGGTCAGAATCTCCACATCCCACTGGAATGGGACGTGTGCTGGTCTGAGACAATCCTTCCTGACTGCTGAACCCCACACCATCTTCACGGGCCTCCTCTGCCCTTCCTAGGGCCCACTGCTCCCACACACTTCAGGTGACCTGCTCCTCTGGCTGGTGTCTCTTCAGCTCCTGAAGAAACTGCCCCCATGGCATCCCCTTGGGCTCCAGCCCCGAAAGGCCACCGCCCAGCCATCTCAGGCCCCAGGGAGACTACAGGGGAGCTGACAAGCCCTTCCTCGGAAGCACCCACCCCACACCCTTCCACACCAAGTCAGCACCCTTCCATGTGATGCCTGAGGCTTGGTAGATTTAATTCTCGGTAAGATGCAGACAGAGAAAACACCTGGATTTACTGCAAGCTCTCATGTGTACGAGGATATCTACTGTTGAACAAAAAAGTCAGAAACACCTGAAATGTTCCATCGAAATAGCTATAGAAAACATGATACACCCATGCTATGGAATAACATGTAGCAGAGACTATGGGTAGCCACTAGAAAGAATGGAGTGAATGGGGTACCATCTCTATGGTTTTGGTCCCAGTCCCTTTCTCAGGGGAACGTAAACTCGAGAATAACACCTTCAGTAGTTTGTTTTTATAAAATAAAAGAAACCCTACAATTGTACATGTAAATGTAAGTGTATATAAATGCACAGCTAATTGTTTGAGAAAATACATGAATAATGGTTAATTCTGGGGAGGAAAGGAGATTTGTCAAATTTTAGCCTATATGTTCATATATTGCCAAAATTTTCCATAACTAGAATATATCCATGTATTATTTGTATAATTAAAAAAATTTTTGAAAAGAGTTATGATCAATAAAAGAGAACATCATTGTACCTTGGGGGCCCTTTGCGACTAAAAAATGCACATCTATAATTTCTAGGGCACACTGTATCCACCTGGGTGACCCGTCACATGCATGCCCATCTCTCCTATAAGACAATGGGCCTCAAGGTCAGAGCCTGGGCACAGGTCTCTCTGGCACTTGGCTGAGCCCTGCACAGTGCCCAGCCAGGCAGGGAGGGGCACAGAGATGAGGCAAGCTGAGCTGAAGCTCGGAGATGTAGACACCAGGGTAAAAGAAGTCTGGGCCACAATCAAGGGAAGGCCCAAGGGTCCTCTCCACCCAGTGAGGGGACCATACCAGGGCCCTAGCATCCTCATGCTCTCTGGAACTACAGGAAGAGTCCATGCCTCTGATGCCCTTTCCTGTTTCTTGGGAGAACAGGCAGCAGACAGGTCCTCACAAGGCCCCCACTCTTGGTATAGGCCCTGGAAAAGGACCCAGGAGTAAGAGTCTGCAACATGAAAACTGCTTTCCTACAGTGTTCTGCATAGGACAGAGCTGTGCCCCAGTGGTGATGGGGAGGAGCTGGCTTCTCCTTAGGGCCTGCCCATGAGGATGGGGTGGCCCCGGGCATGGCCCCAGCGTGAGGTGACATGGGATTGCACACTCAGCCTCTCTTTCTCAGATTCAACAGAAATACCTTAGTCCAGCAACCAGGAGTCTCCAGATGAGTTCCAGAGACTCAGTGAGCTCTGGTTTACTCAGCAGTAACCCCCCTAATGCCACCTTGCTGTAAATGAGCCATCAGGGTACACATGGGATAAGCTGCTAGGTGAAGAGGTGCTACTCACTTCTCTGAAGCTTTGGGCGTGTTCTTCTCCTCGCCCCTGGCAAAGGGTCCTTCTGCAGCCTCCTTCATGAAGTTGACCAGGACCTCTGCACTGACCCCAGAGTCGGGCTTCCCCAGGAGCTTCAAGATGGAAGCGTGGAGCCGGAAGTACACCTAGGAGAATCATACTTGGGTGTGAGCAGCCTTCCCAGTTGCTTAGGTCCGTTCCACAGGCCAATCAGCCACACTGGAAAAGGGCCACTGACCAAGGAGACAGGCCACCACACACTGCCTTTTTTCATTCGCTTTTAAACCAGCCAACCCATAACTCATTCAAAGCAAGCTCTGACAGTTAAAATGGACACAAACTCTCAGTATTCTAACTTAAATGTTTAGCCAGTGATGCAGGCAAGTGATGGTAAGATAATGAGAATAACAACCCTCACCTCTGCTCAGTGGGCATCTCCTCCCACCACAGCCCCTGCCACCCACTGTGTGCCCCTCTCCTGGCGCCCATACAAAGTGAGCCTCCACGCCTGTCTCCCACCACACTCCAGACTCCTGAGTGAGAACAGTTGATTTCTGAGGCGCAGAACAGTTGATTTCTGTCTGTGTGCCTGCACCTGGGCAAGCTGGGTGCTGTAGGCCTAGAGAAGCTTGCCCAGGAGGTACAGGGTGAGGGGAAGAAGGAACGCCGCATCATTCAGGGCCCTGTGCTTTTCTTCACTTCCTTAAGTTCTCACCACAATCCTCCACTTACAAATGTCTGAGGTAAGATGCCCAAATCCCCACAACCAGGAAAGGCCAGGGCCACATTAAACTCTGGTCCGCCCTGCCCTCTACTGCTCCCAAGTAAATGCCACATCAGACACAGACACCTCTACAGGTCACTTGGCCTGACTTTCGCATCCACCTGTGGGTGCAGTGTGCGCTCCCGCCTGTGGCACAGACTCCCACAGGTGGCACAAGGAGTGTTACGAAGGCTGGGAAACCCTGTGGCTGCAGGCCCTGATTAACCAGCCTCTCTCACGCAGAGGTGGTTCTCAAGAGAGGCTGCCAAGGACCATGCAGGTGAGATTGCCAGGGGGTATGGCCCAGGCAGCATTCTCAAGAGGGCATCCTGGACAGAGGGGCCCACACCCAGAGCCCCTCCACCGCTAGCCCGCCTGTGGCCCCAAGTAATTAACCCGAGCAACTCCATTTTTAGGCACAGAAAACCTCTGGGCACACACACATGCCCAGGTGGCCCTGCCGGAAGAGCACAAAGTATTCAATTGGCAAAGTTTAACCAAGTGGCAGGTTCAGTATTTTGAATCCGGGTTCAACAGCAGAGGTGAGTTTTCACCAAGGCAGGGTTAAAGTCTTAAGAGAAATGTCACTTTTAAAGTAAGATATCCACAGGTTGCAGCTGAATGCCTGTTCTCCTGAGAGCCGGCATGGTGTTCTGGGCCTCAGTTCCTTACCTGTTAAGTCCCTGGACCCCACGGGCACACCATCCTGCCTGCTCATTGGTTCTATCAGGCAGCAGCAGAAGCCAAAAGTCAAAGAAACACCGTGGAAGAAAAACACAGTTGTCGTTTTCCTGAGGGCTGGGATACCTCCTGCACACGGGTTGGGTGCTGCACGAGGGCCCTGGGTGCAGGGGATCTGGCCCCAACCGCCCTTCTCTTCTGCTGCTGAATAACTTAGGGCAAGTCACACTAGTCCTCTAGGTCTCAGCCTTCTCAGCCCGAGTGGAAAGCATGAAAGAGCTGTAGTGGGAAGGACGTGGGGCTTGGGGCTGGGAATGACGGCAACCAGGAAGCTGCTGAAGACGTGCTCAGTACGAAAGTGAACTACACTTTATCATGAACCCTATGAAGATGGTCCCTGAAAAGCTGCTGTCAACCACTCAGCAGGCATCATTTTTCAAAGGCAAATTTTTAAAAATGAGACTTTTCTGCTTGTTCACACAAGCAAATATTGGAAAGAGAATACTAACATGGTTGAGGGAAAACAGACATGCTAATTGATCAGTATAACCTTTCAGGGCCACAGGACACTGTGGATGCAACACTAAATGACCCTTGAAAATCCCCCGTAAGTGCTCCCTGATATGCATGCAAGAGCAGGCCCTGCCTGTACCCTGTTGAGGAAGAAGTGGAAGAGAAGTGCACCCTGCATTGGGCTCCACACTGACAGTGCGGGGCCTGCTTGGGATTCTCTCTCTCCCCCTCTCTCGCTCTGCCCTTCCCCTATGCACTCTCACTCTCCTGCTCTCTCTCTCTCTCTCAAAATAAATAAATAAACTTAAAAAAAAATGCCAGTTGCAAAACGGTATGAAAATGTTACTACGTATCTACATGTCAATAGGGGAAAAATCTAGAAAGATAAATACATGCCCAGACTGTTAATAGGGATTATTGGGTTAAGAGGATAGGATCACTGGGGACTTTAGCTTTTTATTTTAAACACTCCTGAATGTTTGACAGGCACCTGGGTGGCTCCGTTGGTTGAGTGTCCAACTTCAGCTAAGGTCATAATCTCATGATCATGGTTCATGAGCTTGAGCCCTATGTTGGGCTTTGTGTTGATGGCGTGGAACCTGCTTTGGATTTTCTGTCTCTCTCTCTCTCTCTCTCTCTCTCTTTCTCTGCCCCTCCCCAGCTCTCTCTCTCTCTCTCTCTCTAAAAAAATAAATATTAAAAAAATTTTTTTTTAATTTAAACACTTCCGAACGTTTGATTCTTATATATATTTTAACCATGAATGTGTGTTAATTTTATAATCAGAAAAAAAGTACATAAAGGCAGACAAGGCATAATAAACAAGCAGATTCTACCCCAAACTCCAAGAAGCTTCCTGGGCACATGGGACTGGCAGGCACTGGGCACGCAGCCTCAGAAAGGGCAAAGCTAAAGTGCTCTGGAAGCAGCAAGTCCTGGGCCAGACCAAGTATATCTGGATCCTCACCCGTGTGCTTAGTTTCCTCCCTACAAAATGTGCTGGCTGCAGCCTCCCAGCCTGCCTCACAGGACTGCCCTGAGCATCGGGGAGAGTGTGGAGTTGTGTGTTTCAGATATCGTAAAAGCAAATCTGAGCTGTAAACAACTGCTCTTCTCTTGAGGAGCAGCGCAAGACCCAAGTCTGGGGTCAAGAAAACAGGCTACTCCCTTGGCCCTGTCCTGCCAAGCTGGGTGCTCTGGGCATACCCTATGGCCTCGCCAGGGACAAGGGCACCTAGCCTTCTCCTGCCACCCTGCAGTGTGGATGCCCTGGGCACTGGGAGATGCTGTGCTGCACTGATGTCATCACTGAGTCAGGTTCTTGGAACCTACATGTGCTAAGGAAGAAAGATGATTTTCTTCTGGGAGATACAAATAAGACACTCCTCTCCCAGAAAGGATAGTAAGCACTCCTTAAAAGAGAGAGGAAAGGCCGCTTTAATTTAATTGCACACAAAGCTGCTGAACGCAGAGAAGTTTCCAGCGGGTTGCATGGGAGTCACTGGGACCTCATGCCCCATCCCCAGGGAGACAGAGAGACTGGCCCACCCCTGCCCTGCTTCCCTGCCCTCGGCCAGCACAGTGTCACCTCCAGGGCCTCCATGGCCAACTCAGGTGGGTTGTGGTAGTGGATCTTCTTGGGGTAGCGGGCAGCCTCTTCGTGCAAGTAGTGGCCAGCCTGTCTGTAGTGCAGCAGGTAAACAGCGGGAGGCTGCTGCTGCTTCTCGGCGACCTTGCCCAGCATGTAGTGGATGAGCCACTCTTCCTCATCACCGTCGCCCTCACAGCGGGCCGCCGACGTGAAACAGTGCCTGGCTGTCTCCAGCATGCTGTCGCGCCGGCCCTCCATCTGGAATGAGACCACGAGATGAGGCTGGGCTTAGCCCACGGTCTGAACCTGCACAAGATCATGCCTTATCCCATAGGGAAGCCCTGCTGCCTTCCTTGCGAAATTTATCATCCTGTCAACGACCCTGAGACACAGAAGTGTTATCACCATTTCATAGCTGAGGACAGTGCGGAGAGGCCTAGGGACGCCCCCTGCCCCCCACACCAAAGTACACATCAAGTAAGGCACAGAGCTGGACTGAAACCAGGTCACCTCATGTCAACTCCAGTGTCCTTTCTTTTATTTCCCCCCAGCCCACCCTGAAGGACACAGTTTAGGAGATTATGAAGTACCTACTGACCCCCTTCTCAAGGTCCCAACTACAACCCTCACTGTGGTTGCAGTGAGGGCCTGTGCCTGGGAAGGGGAGACAGCATCAGGCTGGGGCTGCCAGGAAAGCCAGGCCAACAGCGGCCGAGAACACCGAGAGCCAGTGCCAGTGTTCTGAGATGAGCCCCCTCACCTACACGCGGTGAGCACTTTTCTCACCTGCTCACTAGGGTGGGCAAGTAGAGCTAGACACGATGTACACCCCCAACACCTAGCAACACAGCACTGAAGAGGATGTGCACCCCTGGGGTACCATGGGACTTCCCACCCTGTCCTCTGCACCCTTCCGGAAGGACCTTACAAAAGGGTAGATTCCTAAGCCCCACCCAAGACCCACTGCCTTGGAGCTGTGCCTCCAGCCACCCTCTCACACACCAAAAGGTGGAAACAGCTAGGACAGAAGATCAACCTCTAAGATGCTTTCCAATTTTTTCTAGTCCCTGTATTAGGGCTATGGGCCAGCACCTAGGTGTCACTGACGTGAGATGTCAGCCATCAAGTATGTGCATCCCTTCATCCCAGAACTCCTGGGCTAGGAGCTGGAAGAAACCCTGACTGTGTGGGGCCACAGGGGCAGCTGTTCCCAGCACCGCAGCTCTCTAGGCCCTCATCTCCATGGCTCTCGCTCAGAGGCAGGGAGGCTGCGACCTCTTCTAGTCTCATCTCGGGGACCAGAGAGGCCCCGGACCAGGGAGAGGCTGCAGGCACCAGGCTCTGCCTGCAGCCTGTGAGAGCAGTACCCATGTCCCACTGCAGCAATAGCCCTGGGGCCAACACAAAGCAGCCTGGTGCTACCCCAGTGGTCTGCAAAACACTTCCTGGGAAAGAAAATTACCACCTAGGGATGCCTGGGTGCCTCAGTTGGTTAAGTGTTCAACTCTTGGTTTTGGCTCAGGTCACGATCTCACAGTTCATGAGTTTGAGCCCCATATAAGGCTTTGTGTTGACAGCGTGGAGCCTGCTTGGGACTCTTTTCTCCTCCTCTCTCTCTCTGCCCTTCCCCAGCTTGCTCTGTCTCTCTCAAAATAAATAAATAAGCTTAAAAAAAAAAAAAAGAAAAGAAAGAAAAAAGAAAAGAATCATGAGACCATCAACGGGGGGGCACCTGGGTGGCTCAGTCAGTTGAGCATCTGACTCTTGATTTCGGCTCAGGCCATGATCCCAGGTCATGAGATCAAGCCCCGCATAGGGCTCCACACTGAGCATGGAGTCTGCTTAAGATTCATTCTCTCTCTCTCTCTCTCTCTCCCTCTGCCTCTCTCCCATGCTAGCACCTTTTCTCTCTAAAAATAAATAAATAAAATGAAAAAGAAAAGAGACCATCAATGAGTGAGATATGATAGAAAGAACCACAGTGTAGGACCAGAACACAGCACAAGCCAAGTGGCTCCATCATACCCCTCCAAAATTAGATTCTGTAGCAGATCTAAGTATAAGGCAAACACTTCAGTGGAGTCTTGTTATGACTGCCCTGTAACTACGTGGCCTTAACCAAGTCACTAGCCTTCTGCCCACCCAGCTCTGCCACTGAAGGTCATACAGCCACCTACTGAGACAGGAAGGGCAACTGTGAAGAGCCCCATCTAAATTGACACCTAGCACCACATAGATCCCCACCAAGAGGCCAACACCCTCCCTACCCCACATAAAGCACATGCTACCAGAGTTCCTGTCTTTTGTAGCTGTGCCAGTCAGAACATTTCAGACAGAACAGGAGGGATGGCCACTGAGGATCCAGCATGTTCCAGAGCTCTGCCAGACATCCTCACACCTCCTCTCCATCCAAGAGCGAGACGTGCACCCTCTGCTGTGGCACCTCATTCACCCCATGGCCAGGGTCTCTGGCCCAGGGCCAGCCCATAAGAGGGACTAAGGAGATATCAGTTCATACGATACTGCCATACACGAGGAATGGTCAGCCCAATTACAACCAAAACCACAGCAGAAACATCAAGTTCCTCCCTCAGGACACACAGAAGGTTCTGGCTCCAAAGCCACTGCCCTTGCCTGAGAATGGACAATAAGGGAAAGCATTGGTTTTCCTAAAACAGACACCTTTGGCAAGTTTGCAGGCAGAAGCTGAAGAACACAGCAGCTTATATAGCTATTAACACATGCCCTACAGCTCATCTGATCAGACACAAGAAACCCAAACATAGCTCTAGCAACCAAGGAAGGGACTGTGTCCCCATGACATACTTCATAGTAGGAAACTGCCTTGCCAGCGATGGAAAAAAAACAGGAGGCATAGGGCAGCGCTGCGAGGCAGTGTTCACCCTGGACAACAATGCAAAACCTCCTTCCTTCCCTGTCTGCTGAGACACCTGCATGCCTAGTGGATTTCCATCTCTCCTGCCACCACCTTACATTCTGGGAAGATGGCCTGGCAGCCCAGTTTCAGGCCCTGCGATACCTGGGCCAATGGCTTCGACTGGATCCGAATGGAGTTCAACCACAGAGTTTGTGAGCTATGCAGGAGAAAGAACAAGCAAAGGAAAGAGGTGTGCAGGGAGTCAACCTGTGTCTCCTGTCTGTCGCCCACTCTCTGCCCTTCCCCTTCCTAGGGGAGCCACAAGTTCCCTCCTCTAGGGGAGTTCTACAAATGAAACCCTCAAGTGCCAATGGCAGAAAAGGAATTCTGACTTCTCCTCATATTTACTTCCTGGAAAACCTCTATTCTGCTAAATCCCACTGGGCATCACTGATGGAGGATTAGAGACAGAATCTCAAGGTCCGTGCTCCACCCACCCCAGTGAGTCCCAGTAGAGGATAATAGTCGGTGCTCCTTGTACTGCCAGGATCCATTTCCCAGCCTGCTCAGCCCTGCGGCCACTGCAGTAATAACAGAAGGGAGGGAGGGGCCCTTGCGCAGGGCAGTCACCAAGAAATAGGGCTGCATGGCATGGGAAGAGCTCACATGGTGCTGAGTGAAAAGGAAGCTCGATGCCATACACAGCATGACAGCATTTAGGCTAGAGGAAAGAACAGATAAATCATGGCATTCTTTCTAGGAGTACATGTATACATAAATAACCGTATTTTTTTTTTTTTTTAAGTCTGGAAAGATAAACTGTAGGTTGCTCTGAAGCAGGAGTGAAATGAGGGGGTGGGACAAAAAGGTTTTAGCTTTGTCTTTACTGTTCCCAATTGTTTTAAAGAAGGTGTTTCTTCGTATAATTGAAGAGGGGTTTCTATAAGTGTTAAACAAGGGTCATGCTGCTCTTCTCTCCCCCGTTTTCTTCCAGGGTTTGGCCCAGTCACAGAACCCGACACCTGTCTCTGGTCAGCTGGTTAGCAGGGTCCCTCATGGCCACGCTGCCCTTCCCTCCACCTGTGTCCTCTGCCACTGGTGCCAGGCCTATCCCCTGGATGCTGCATGTAAACCACCCAGGGACCCTGTTAAAGTGCAGCTTTTGACTATGAGTCCCTGATGCAGCCTTTTAACAGCTCCCCACCCCCTCCAACCCTCCTGAAAGAGGTTCTGATGCCCAGTCAGGTGTGGAAGCTACTGTCCTTGCTGACCTACTTGAGCAGAGAAAGAGAGGGAAAAACCTTAGGGCCAAGGTGCCCAGAGTCTGGAACCCTGAGACAACTGTCCTGGGCTCAGGGGGCAGTGACACCCAGAGCTCATGGGAAGAAGGTGAGGTCACTGGCATTCCTAAACAGTAGCCCCAGATGGTGCTTCCAGCTTACCCTCGTCAAGTGTGGGTGCTGTGCAGAGACTGGGAAATGTGTGGAAACAGAAGGGTAGCCTTTTTAAGGCTTTCCCAAAGTGTATCGCACAGCACACCGATGTCCAGCAGGACTTTGTGTGAGAAATCCGAGGCCCCCATGGCTGTCGACACAGGGTGACAACAGTCATCACAGCAGGGGAACATTCAGATGAGCCTGTGCTCTTATAGCACATCCACCCAGCATTTTCACTAAGGTCCATCCCTGCCAGCTCACTTCATTAGTTTTGTAGTCTGTCTCTTGCTGATTTTCACATCAAGTCTGATGGTATAATGCACACCTATTGCAAAGTTAAACTGCAAATTCTGCAAAAGAGGTGGGACTTTGCAAAAGATGCGGGATTTCATGAAGCTGATGAAAGTAATGTGGGCAAAGCCTTTGCACATGAGCACCAGGCACAATTAACATGGATGACAACTGCCCAAAGGGAGGACTGCTGGTCAAGGAAGAGACCGCAACACACACTTCTAAGGCACAAAGATGTCAGAGAATCCTGGGAGAGGGAAATAGCTCTCAAGTATTTCTGCAAAAGTAGCTGTCGAAATTTAGGCTGCCAAGGTGAAGGAGCGTCATAGCGTGCTATCATAAACTATTAGAAAATTAAGCTCCCCTCAAACCAACCAAACTCAATCATTCTTGGTTCGTTTGAAGAATTAATACATCCTTGTGATCACCAAAGCCCTAGTAACATAAGACTTAGGAGTTATTTTCATTATTATTTAATTACTAAGATAAAGTCCCAATCACACCTTTACCAGGGTAACTGAGCCCCACCGTAAGTGGATTCACATTGTGACCCTTTGCTAGTGCTGACAGCAGCCCCTCCCCTTCTTCTCTGTGCTGTTGGGTAGGGATGTCACCCACATACAAAAGGGGTGACATTTATGTCATTATTACATTCTCATTTATGCTTTTTAAGTTTACTTATTTATTTTGAGAGAGAGAGGGAGAGAGAGAATAACCAGGGGAGGGACAGAGAGAGAGGGGGACAGAGGATCCGAAGCAGGCTCTGAGCTGACAGCAGACAGCCCAATGCAGGGCTTGAACTCACAAACTATGAGATCATGACCTGAGCTGAAGTCGGATGCTCAACCAATTGAGCCACCCAGGCACCCTTCATTTATGCTTTTCCATACCAATTGAATTTTTAACACCAAGGACACCTCACTTTCATATAAAATCAGTAAAAGCAACAAAGAGCTGTTACCTCTTTGCAGTACAAGGCTAGGACTTCCCCTACTTAGCACAATGCTAGGAGGCCAGGGTCACTGTGAGGCCAAGCATTCTGGGAGCCTGCCACTGAAGAGTGGCAGGTGTCGGAATGGGGGGCTGGGTATGACATCAGAGGTCCACTCTCGAGGACACAGAGGCTATCAGAGGACAGCAGTGGCACAGCTGTAGCTGAAAGCCTCAGTTGAAAACCTTCTCTCACTGGGTTCCCTCAACAACCCAATGGCAGCATGAAGAAGGTCATCATCTCATTTGGGTTTTGACCACATTTGATCACTAGAAGAAACAGGCCCCTTCCGCACTCTGCTCTCCTAGGAAACCCTTCTGGATTGTCATCTTACTGCCACACCAGCCTCAAAAATGTCATGTGGCTCCTTCATTTCCAATTCAAGGAGCCAAGGCCCACAGGCCAGACACCCAGCAACCTGCACTAGGGGAGTCCCCTACCAAGATGGACTTCAAAATTCCCAAGAAGTTCCTTTGAAGGGAACAAGGAAGGGGCGCGTTGGTAGCTCAGTCAGTTAAGGTCTGACTCGAACTCAGCTCAGGTCTTGATCTCAGGACCCCACACGGGGCTCCACACTGGGCATGAAGCCTACTTAAAGAATAAATAAAATGAAGTAAAATAAAACATGAAGGGAACCGGAAATAGACAGCTACTTCTGGTGGCCAACACCCCTTCCCTGCCTCTCAACTGCTGGAAAACTGATGGCTGACCAGCCAGATCATAAGAACTTGGCCTTGAATTCACCAATGCCAGACTGGGTGTCTAAAGACCAGGGACTAAGCTGTCACTGACCACAGTATGGCTTCAGTTTCACGAGAAGGATCATCCATGAGCTCCCAGCATGGTTGTGAGGACAAGTGCAAAAAACAGACAGGACAGAACTTGGCCACCTGAGGGCACTTGGGTGGGATGGCAGCCCTTCTGCAGAGCCCCTCCTCACCTGCTGTACGAGCTCAGGGGGCAGCTCAGCTCTCCACTGCTTCAGCTGGCGCGAGGCAAAGGAGTGCAAGGCATAGGACATGGTGCCATACTCGATCCACAGGGACAGGTTGGAGCTGTCGATCTCCAGGGCCCGCCGGAAACAGTTCAGGACAGGTGTGGCGTGCTTCCAGATGGGACCATCACTCTTCAGCTCATTGGAGTTCAGTTTGTCCTGAATGCGACTGGCCCGGGCCAGGGCCATGCCTGCCCAGGAATCAAACCTGCAGTCATGACAAAAGCACCAGTAAACACACAGCTGCCCTTACAGCACTGCAGACATGGTAGCCTGGGCAAGGCACCCAGGCCCCAGGGGAGTGGTCCCAGGCCATGACCCAGAGCCCAGCTCCACCACTCATGGACTCCATGTTTCTAAGCTATGAAATATGGCTAAGAAAACCCATATCAAGAAAGCTGAGCTGCTGGGACACCACAAGACATGTATTTTAGGTCATTCAGCATCCCGCAGGTACTCAGTAAGTGCTCTAAGAGAATCCCCATGGACTCGAGCCCAAATTATGCTAACATGGTGAGCTCTTGGACTCTGCTCCCCTTTGCTTCCCTGCTTAGAGGGGTTACCCAAAGAATGTCTCTGATGGAAAGGAAAAGGGGTGCTTTACAAGGCATGGCCCATCCAAGGTGACAGGGAGGCTCTCATCCAGCTGCCACCTCACCTAACCCCGCACTGGTAGCACCTGCCATCAACACACTCACTGACCAAAAGCAAGGAGCAGCCAAGACCCTGAAAACACTGCCATGTAGTTGCTACATGGTCCTTCCTCTGGGACCTTGACCACATCCTGCCCTGTCCACCTCAGTTCCCAGAAGCAATATGGAGAGCAAGGGGACCACAGGATGGCTGAGAGCCTACAGTTCTGAGATCACCTGAAAGAAAGTGGTGGGGAAAATGTAAAAGGCTGTGATGACGACGAAGGCCAAGACAACTTCTGGGCACTTGGGAGAGTGGAATTTCCTGAGTGCAAGTACAGACAACAGAATAGACAGCAATCACATAACAGATGCTACCTTCCACAGGCTGACAATTCTTGACCTACTGCTGTACTAACTTTAAAACTGGATGGGGCGCCTGGGTGGCGCAGTCGGTTAAGCGTCCGACTTCAGCCAGGTCACGATCTCACGGTCCGTGAGTTCGAGCCCCGCGTCGGGCTCTGGGCTGATGGCTCAGAGCCTGGAGCCTGTTTCCGATTCTGTGTCTCCCTCTCTCTCTCTGCCCCTCCCCTGTTCATGCTCTGTCTCTCTCTGTCCCAAAAATAAATAAACGTTGAAAAATTAAAAAAAAAAAAAAAAACTGGCCAATTAGCTTTCTGGACTATTTTTGACAGTCCTCCAGGTGTGGTAAGGGCAGAGCAGACCTGCGAAGCTCATACGTGCTTCTGCCGTACTCCAGGCACCCAAAGATGAAAAAGTATGAGCAAAGGAGCAGTAAAGAGGCCTGAAGCCTTAAGTGATGATGGGGGATAGCAAAAATGAAGCCTCCAGCCCCTGTGTGGAGGCCCTGGGTGTACCCTTTCCTCCTCAGGGCCTGGGATCCGGGGCTCTGCTCAAGTCACCCTGGGGGCGGAAGCATAGGGGTAGGTGTCAAGCTCCCCTCCAGATGGTGGGGAACCCTGTCAGGGACTTACCACCAGGGCCAGATCCTTCCACACTGAGGGTTTCCCCTCTTAATTCCTCCCAGAATGCCTTCGGCAACCCCCTTTGCCCTTGCCTTGAGGGAAGGGACCAAATCACGGTGTGTGCCCATATACCTGCATGAGTACCAAAATGGAAACCACTAACCACAAATAGAAGTGACCAAGAACACAGACACCTCATCACAAAAATAAAAAATGCTTCTCTGTGTGTCACCAAAAACCAAGTCCTGACACGGGTTCTTGATTCTAGCAGAGCAGCACACAACCCACACTCGGGGAGTGCTGACCCACAAGGACAGCAGGGAGCCCAAGGGCCAGCGATGCCACGAACTCAGGAGGAAGAAGCATCCAGAGCCTGTGCGCTGGGCTGATACTCACGTAGGGCAGGCCTGCTCCCAGCACTGGGCTCAGAGTTGTTTGGCAGAGGGATGAGCTGTATTGGGACCTATTCCCATCTTGCCCCAGAGAATGCCACTCTATGAAACCCCTGGCCAAGGTGGCCCAATCCCAGCTGAGCAAGAGCAGATGGAACGGTGGATGGGTCAAGAAAAGCTGTCGCCAGCATTCTCGCAGACTTGCTCTTCCTGCAGGGACCACCAACAAACACTGTGGCCGGGACACACCACCACACACCCAGCTGTCTGCCATGGGCTTCACCTGTGTCTAGCAGGCTCTGAAAATGTAAAGAAAAGGCCAGCATCCAAACTTCCATCTTAGCCAGCACAGAAGATGACACTGAGCCCAAGTCTTCCCTGACACCTGCTCGTGAGGGCCAGAATGAAGGAGGGTCAGGACTAGGCCACCAAGTTCCTCCTGGCCCTGGGGCCAGTCCTCACAGGGCACCCCACCTCTACGGCACGGCTGCCAGCAGGCCAAGCCTGACAGATTGACACCCTCTGAACCGGTGCATGTACAAGTTGGAAGGAGACCCAAATGAGCTGTCACGAACCTTGTCTTGTAACCCAAAGGGCTGCTGGGTGAGAGGTGTCACGCCAGGCTCTCACCTCTCCACAGGCAGGCTGGTCTTATCACCCTCACTTTTCAGACATGGAGGCAGCAGTGCAAAGGAGGTGACTCCTCACTGCCTAGAGCAGGAGCACTCAGCCAGCCTGAGCATGGATCTCCCCTACCAAACTGGTCCACAGTGACCCCAGAGAGGACATCCAGGGCCACCAATACATGGCTCCCTGCCTGAAGGAAATCATACGCTGAGCAACAAGGGGGCTGGGAGAACCTTTCCCACAAGCTACAGAAGTTGTGTAAAATGGTTTCTCTACTCAGATCCCAGCCCCTCTCCCCCGGGCCAGGTGGGTCCTGACAAGATGGAGCTCTGCATTTTCCCCTGAGGATGGGCAGCCTCTGCGGCCTGGCCCCTGAGTACTTTACCTACAGACACTACTCTGGACCTTCAGATACAAAGCTTATCTCGACCCAAGGCTTACCTCCTAGGTGTGGAGGCCATGAGAAAATGTTCCCTCTCAATCAAATGAATCAGACTTGATGAGCTTAGCAGAGCCCTTTCAGGATGAACAGGCCAACCATTACAATTTAAGAAAAAGCCACCCGGGCTCAGCAGGAAGAAAGCATGAGCCTCACATACAATAGGCTCTCCTACTTTTACTGTCATGACAATTGCTACTGCCAACACTTGCATCAGAGCAAGGAAAGAGAACTCCTAGCTTAAGTATTTCTATTACCTTCCCCTTTCCCCAAAATAAGGTAACAACCATTAGCTAAAGACACATAGTACACATCAGCCCACTTCCCAGGGCCAGGAGCCAGGAAAGGAGGCAGCACTCAACCAGGAGGATGGAACCAGATGGCACCCCGTTGCCCTGCTGGCCTGGATCCAGATGGAAACCTCATACCTTCTCTGAGGCCAGTGCTCATCCCAGGTATCTTCTGGAAGGAAGCCTTCTCCACTGCTCCTCTTTTTATGAAGAACCTGTGTCTTGCCTTTCCTAATAACTGCAGAGTGCTAACCATACTTTCTCATTCCTTTTCCCCTAATCTCTTTGCTATGGCAGGGAAACCCCAACCTGGCCCAGGAAAGGGTTTGCTGAGCTGGGGTCACCCCAACCCTCCCTGCTTGGCCGTATGCCCAGGTCACTGACCTGTTGGGGCAGATGCAGATGTCATGCATGTAGAACTTGATAGCCTTAGACTGCTCCTTGTTTTTGAAATGGTAATCAGCCAGGAGGTAGTAGAGCTCATTCACCACCGGAGGGGAGGGGTCGGCCCCTTCTGGAAGGCAGGGCACCTGGCAGGTGAGGGAGCAGGATAAGGGGAGATGGAGTCAGGGTCTCAGATGTGACCAGTAACGCTGCAAACCCAGGACCATTCACATTAGCACAGGACAGACACTAGGCTTCTCATGGACCTGACTTCTGGTATAGAGCAAGGAAAGCAGACAAGGTGCAGAAGCAGCAGTGCCGGAGGGAAAAATGATGGGACACAGCTCCACCATGCTCAGTTCCTACCTCGGCCGAGGTGCCCTCAATGTAGGCAGAGACTTTGTCCAGGTTCAGGGCCGGCCTTTCTGTGCGGGGCACAATGGTGGCGATCCTCTTCAGAAGGTTGGCCAAGTCAGCAGACACAGTGCTGGTCTTGTAGCTGTCAAATTCAGGAAGGGTCTTGGGCTTAAAATACTCAAACATAAACAGAGCGTCCTCCCATATAAGGTCCACCTTGAGAAAAGACAGAAAGCAGATCATAGTACAGTCAGGGTAAAGCAGAAAGGGAAAGGTTCTTCCATGGAAATAATGCAGACAAGGTTACAATATGTTAGAGTGTAGAAAAAGTCCCATATACTTTTAAAAATCTGCATACTCACTCTAATTCCCAAACCCAAATGTCTGAAGAGCAGAAAAATGAACTGGCATAAGCCCGGCCTTTACAAAGACAAATGTTGGAAACTGAGGGCCACACTCTGTTGAGTCCACATGGCTGAGCCAGAGGGTAGGTTCAATCACGAGTGGGCACTGTGGCCAGGCCACTGACCCTCTCCTTAAGCCTCAGCTGCCCCACTGCTTGCTCTGGACCAGGGTGGGTCTGCATTCTACATGGGACCACAGTGGGGGCCCTGCCCAAGGAGCTTATATTCAGGGAATGGAATTGGTAAGAATAAATGACAGTACTGACAAGCCATGACTGCTTGAAACCCAAACAACAAAAACAAATGAAAACCTCTAAGGAATTATTCATATTATCCGACTGGAAAAGGAAATCCTTTGAAAATTGCCATGCTGCACTTTTGAATGATTGGTCAACATTTACGAAGCTCGTTTTTGCAAGGAAAACCCTTTTCCTATGATCAGACTACATCTGACCATGCTCTCATTCTCCTGGTGCAACTAACCACAAGAGGTGTGTGTCTGATGTCCTCCAGGAGTGCTCATGCCCCTGCTTCTCTGAGCCCCACTCCCCTGGGCAGGGGCGGGGACACCCTCACCTGCTGGGCTGAGTGCTCCTCCAGGTACCTGGCCTTGCTCTTCTTGCTAGGGAAGCTGTACAGGCAGTAGAAGCACTGTTCCAAGGCGGTCTCCAACTCCTCCTTGTAGGGGTGCGTGTCTTCAGAGGTGGATGCAGCAAGTTCCTTCTGGAGAACGCGTACCTGTGGTAGGCAGGAAGAGACGCCTGAGGAGAAGGCGCCAGTTCTCCAGCTTCCCTGGCACAGTGCCAGCTTCCCTGGCACAGTGGGACCCCAGGGAGACCACCACGCTATCAAGTCTGTTAACCTGAGGAGGCCGTGTCTCTTGGGCCTGTTTCCTAAAAAGGCCTGTTACCCCCACAGGAGCCATTCTAGGCCCAGATCTGACAAGTGACCAGAAGGGCGTGCTTGCCAAACTGCCTTCCTTCTAGCGCATCCAGTCAGTATCTACCAGCTGCTAGGAGATATTATATGCCCTCCGGTAAGTTCTCTACCCACTTATTTGGCCATTCATTTGCTCCCCGAATATTTACCAAGCACCTCGTTATGTTAGGCACAATGTGACACAGTCTCTGCTTTTAAGAAGCTCAGATGGAGGGGCAGTAAATTAAACAGGTGGTTATAATGCAAATGGTAAATCCCATTAGGACTGAGGGAGTCTCTCTCAGACAAAACATCAATAAGGATTCCAGAGGATGTAAACAACACAGTCAATAAGTGATGCATCTATGAAGATTAGATTCAATGGCTATTGTTATGCCCAACTGTTACCAGATACACATTCTTTTCAAGCATCCATGAGCTTTTTTCCAAAACTAGACAAAAAGCACATCTCAACAAATACTAAAGACAAAATATAATACACACCACATCCTCAGAACATAAGTCAGTAAAATGAGAAATCAGTACGTAAAGGTAGCAAATACCACAGGTCAAAACATGGCATGCAGCTAAAAATGTACTTGGGGAAAACTTATAACCTTCAGCACTTGTACAAAAAAGAGTGAACACTGCCACTGAGTGGCCATCTAAACACAGTGTAGTTTCAGGTTGATAAGCACATGGCTTTTCCCATAGGCTTCACACATAAACTTATATCTTATATCTTATATCTTATATAAAAGGAAGAAGTTACTTGAAGGGCACTTTATACACCGGGTCATTCAAACAATTCACCAAATGTCTTTTCACATAAGCTTTTATATGTAAGTTTGTAAACACATCTTAATGCTAGGAAGATGTCACTGAATGACCTTAAACCTGATGTTAACCCCATGGCTTTTCCCAATGCTTCTGCACTTAATTTAGAAACATTAATACCTTAATGATAGCAAGATGTGAAAAAAAAAAAAGAGTGAACACTGAAATAAGCTTTCACCGCAATAAGTTAGAAAAAGCACAAAGTAAATCCAAAGAAATGATACAGATGTGTGTATGTTTATTTCTGTATTTTTATATTGCGCTACACACTATATAGTTGCATGGGTTTTTAAACTTTACATATAAAATATCATGTAATACATAACCCTTAGCACGTTGCTCTTATTCATTTCACTGAGCTATATTCACATTGATACAAATAAATCTGGTTCATTCATTTGCACTGCTCTAAGCAGTTAAACTAATTAAAATGAATGAATGGACCAGACTTATTTGTATCAATGTGAATATAGCTCAGTGAACTGAAATGAATCTTATTGTACGGGGATATCAAAATTTCAAACTTTTTAGTATGGAAAATTCCAAACATATATTAAACTAGAAATGATAGTATAGTGAGCCCACATATGGAGCACTGATTAATAAGTCTGATTACTAAGCACTGATTACTAATAAGCACTGATTACTAAGTCTGTGCATAGCCAGTCCCTCACCCAACTGTCCCCAATCCACCCCACATCATTTGGAAACAAATCTTAGACATTACATCACTTTGTCTGTAAATATTTGTTACCATATTTTTTTTTTTTTTTTACCTTTTCTAATGATAGCATTAAGGGTGTTTATCCTTTTTTGTATATGTGTTATAAACAGAATTATGGTTAACATCCACCAACATGCTATTCTTTATATGCATGTGAAAGTTTCTTTTTCTTTAGTGTGGATTCCTATAAAAGGAATTACCAGGTCACAGTGTTTGCACATTTGCAACTTTCAAAACTGTATTTTCAAACTGTTTGCCAAAACAGTTGAACTAATTAATTGTATACTTAAAAAAAATTTTTTTTAATGTTTATTTTTTTGACAGAGACAAAGCATGAGCAGGGGAGGGGCAGAGAGAGAGGGAGACACACCATCTGAAGAAGGCTCCAGGCTCTGAGACGTCAGCACAGAGCCTGATGTGGGGCCCGAACTCATGAACTGCAAGACCATGACCTGAGCCGAAGTCTGACACTGAACCAACTGAAACACCCAAGCGCCCCACTAATTTTATACTTCTGATGGCAGGATGGAAATTCCTACACAGCCCCATCAGCCCTAGGTACCACAGACAAATGCTGATGCCTGTCTGAAAGGACAAAATGGTATTCCATTGCTTTTAATTCCTTTTTAATAAAGAATTTATGGTTGTTAGTGAGGTTGAGTGTCTTTTCATGTTTATTGGCCTTTAAGGTTTCCTCTCTAGTGATCTGTTCATATAATTTCCTCATTTTTCTCTTGGACGTTTTTCTTTTTCTATGGATTTGTGGAGTTTTTTAAATACCCTGAATTGCAGTCTTTTGTCTGATATGTATGTTTCACCAGTTTCACACACACGTGTGTCTGTGTGTGTGTGTGTAGTTCTATCACTATGCTATTTTATGTGGAACTTTGTGTATAGTGTTTGTTTTACAGAATTTTAAAATTTTAATGTCAGATTTATTAGTCCTTTCCTTTATGGTTTATGGGGGTGAGGGAAGGACGGTGAGGAAGAGTATACTATCCTTCCTGTAACTTTTTATTTCTATTAGAAGACAGGATTGAAGCAAATACAGCAGATAGTTAATGTGTACACAATCTGGGTGGTAGTACCAGGACATAGTGTAACAGGGACAGTCTGGAAGTTAGTAAAGGCTCTATAGAAAAGGGGCCATTTGAGTTGAGTGTGAATGAATGGATAAGAATTCAGCAACCTGAATATAACATATGAAAAGAAATACTAACTCAAGAAAAGATGAGATCCAAGAGGATTTCTCCCTCAGAGAATACTTCCACTCCATCCAAGAAAAAAAAATCCACACAAAAGATCTCCCCATGTCAGTCACAAAGCACTCCCAAGACACAATCCTTTATCTGAAGACCACTAACCTGGGGCAATGAGAAGAGCCAGCAATAAAGTATTCACCTTTGTAACGCCCACAGCACCCAGAATGGTGAATGCTCAGCAACAATTTGTAGATCAATGAATGAATAAGTTTATGTTTGTTCATTTATTTATTCAAGAAACATCAACTGGACAGTAATCTATGTCAGCCACTGCTCAGGGCCCTAGAGATGCTTCAGGCAGCAAGACTAAAAAGGTCTCTGATCTCAGGAACACACCAGCTAGCAGAGAGGCACGTGACACAGAAACAAATAGCAGGGCTGCTCAGCAGTCATGAGGACAGAGTGGCAGGACCAGGGAAGACCTCTTTTAGAAGGTGTCCTCTGAGCTGAGACCAACATGGCAGGAAGGAAAGGGCAAGCCAGACATGTAGACCCCGGGACAGAGTATGACAAACAGAGGGCATGAGGTGGTCAGGACCTGAGCAGAGAGAGAGAGCACTCAATAAGCAGAGGCCGAGTCCACAAAAGTGAAGTTGCTGCAGGAGCTGGAAGAAAGTAAAGGCTAGGCCTCAGGTAGGAAAACCAGGAGCTATGAAATGAAACATGGCGGTACTCCTATCACGTCCACTCCCTCAGATTCACTTAGCAGATCCTGGCAGCTAGAATTCATACTCTGCCAAAAAAGATGTAGACTAAGGAAAATCCAGAGTATGGTCATCCCATCATCGCCCCTGCTGCCTACCCAGAAGGCACCTCAGCACCACTTCTGTCGGGTACCAGCTTGCAAAGGGGCTGACTCATTCTTGACTCTCCCCCAAGCAGCGTAAGGGAAACTGCTTTGTAGAGGTGACCCTGTGGAAGTAGAACAGTGACCCCACACTCTCTCATTGGGAGAGGGAGGGCAGAAAAAGGAAGTTGCCAATTCCTGAGCAGCAATACAGTCTAAGCTTGGCACAATTCTTCCAAAAATGGTCCTGAAGTGTGGCGCTGACCCAGGGTGAGCACCCGGGAGGCCCTCAGAACTCACAGGGTAGAGCAGACACTCAGGCATCTACAGCTGGGGCTTCTGCCAAGTCTCCACCTCCTCAGCACAAGTGCTCTGCAAACTGTCAAGCCCTACACACACATGAGCTCTATACGTATTCTCAGTCTCGTTCATTCATTCAATCCATTACTTATTAAACACCTACTATGAGCTAGATATGCTGTGCTAAGGTACTGGGATCCAGCAGTGAACAAAAGTAACAAAAATCCCTACCTTCAGGGAAGTTACATTTTAATGGAGAAGAGAAGCACAATAAACATAACAGATAAATAAATTATATGGCATGCTAGAAGATGGTATGAGCCATGGGGAAAGCACAGGACAGAGGAGGAAGACAAGGACTGGGGAGGCAGGAGCTGCACTTGTAGAGAGGATATGCTCACTGAAAAGGTATACGGCAGAGGTCAGCAAACCTTCTCCTGAAGGGCTATGTAGTAAATATTTTAGGTTTCACATACCACACGGACTCTATCAGAGCTCCTCATCCCTGCCCCTGTATTGCCAAAGCAGCCATAGTTAACATGTAAATGAATGGTTGTGGCTATGTCCCACTAAAACATTTATTAATAGACACTGCTGGGAGCCTGGCTGACTCAGTTGGTTAAGCGTCTGACTTCGGCTCAGGTCATGATTTCGCGGTTCGTGAGTTAGAGCCTCGTGTCGGACTCTGCACTGACAGCTCAGAGCCTGGAGCCTGCTTCAGATTCCGTGCCTCACTCTCTCTCTCTCTGCCCCTCCCCAGCTTGTGCTCTCTCTCTCTCAAAAATAAAGACATTCAAGAAAAAAAATTTTTTTAAACAGACACTGCAGGCTGGGTTAGGTGCCCCTCTCATGCTCTGTAACCTGTCTGCACCACTTCGCCTCACACTCAGCAGTGAGGTTTGGGGACAGGAATCATGCTGCTTATCCCCAGTAAGCCCAGTCAATCACAGCTGCTAGTAAGAGACAGCTATCTGCAGTCACTAAATACTTATTTACTAAATAGCTATTGATTCAGCAACTACTACATTTCATGAGTGGTGCTGGGCAAACAGGATTCATTGGAAGGTGGTGGTGAATGCAGTTATTGCCTCTAAATTACTATGAAGGGCCTGGCCCTATGCCTGACACACACAAAACAGATGCAGTCACGATTAGTGGTTCTAAATCCACTTGTAGGTCAAGGCCAGGTCCAGAAGCCGTGAACCTCAGGTGCATAAGGGAACCAAGTTCAGACTTTCTGGCAACTCTGAGTAGTCACATATGAATCAAAGAAGAGCAGTGGGCCCCAGTACAGGGGGAGGCCAAGCAAGCCTCAGGACGCCAAACCATCCCTCCCGCCCCACCAGCCCTGGCCAAGAGGGCAACGCTTACATAGAATCGCAGTAGAGCCCCATCGGAATTGCAGCACCAGGACCTTCTCCCCAAATACTCGTGGGCAGTGTTGAGCAGCATGAGGGAGGATGGGAGCATGGGCGTCTCAGCCATCACTAGGGAAAGACCAGACCGACAGAATTAGCGTGGGGACACTTGTGGGACTTGCAAAGCTCAGTCTCTCCTTTGTGGGCTTTTCTGTCTTTACCAAAGTGGCCACAGATTTTTCTTTCTTTCATTTTTTATCTTTTTGTCTTCTTAAGTAAGTTAATGACTTGATTGGCTTTACAAAAGCAATACATACTTTTCAACGTTTATTTATTTTGGGGACAGAGAGAGACAGAGCATGAACGGGGGAGGGGCAGAGAGAGAGGGAGACACAAAATCGGAAACAGGCTCCAGGCTCCGAGCCATCAGCCCAGAGCCCAATGCGGGGCTCGAACTCCCGGACCGCGAGATCGTGACCTGGCTGAAGTCGGACGCTTAACCAACTGCGCCACCCATTCAGGAGCACCTGAGTGGCTCAGTCAGTCAAGCATCCGACTCTTGACTTCAGCTGAGATCATGATCTCGGTTCGTGAGATAGAGCCTCGTGTGGGGTTCCACCTTGGGATTCTCTATCTCCCTCTCTCTCTCTGCCCCTGACCTGCTCACATACTCTCTCTCTCAGAATAAATAAATACACTTAAAAAGAAATCCAAATCATACAAGAAGACATAAGGAATGCCTTATCCACCTCCAAGTAAACACGCTGATGTTCAGTGAACATCCCTGGAAGCAGCGTTCTGGGCATATAGGAAACATTTTGAAAGAGAGAAATAACTTTTAATAATGAAACCCGGGGCGCCTGGGTGGCTCAGTCAGTTAAGCTGCCCAACTGCCTGTATGATCTCACAGTTCGTGGGTTTGTGCCTCACATCGGGCTCTGTTCTGACAGCTCAGAGCCTGGAGCCCGTTTCAGATTCTGTGTCTCCCCTCTCTCTCTGCCCCTCCCTGTTCATGTTCTGTCTCTGTCTCAAAAATAAAAAGTAAACAGTAAAAAAAATTTAAAAAAATAAAAATAATGAAACCCATACTATATATACCATTTCTTAACTTCAAGATTCTTATTCTAAGGTCTTTTGGAATATTACAGATGAAAAAAAAGAATGACTACCTTTCAGTTAAGTGTAGGTTCACCACTAGAATGATTACTAGCTCCTTAAAGATCCTTCAGTGCTTCTGCAACTCTGGACTATAACCCACTAGTGGGCTTGTAACTAGCATTTTTATTTTATTTTTTTTTTTTTAAATTTTTTTTTTTCAAAACATTTATTTTGGGACAGAGAGACAGAGCATGAACGAAGTAGGGCAGAGAGAGAGGGAGACACAGAACTGAAATAGGCTCCAGGCTCTGAGCCATCAGCTCCAGAGTTCCCATCAGTCGGGAACTCACTGACCGCAGATCGCGGGACCTGGTTGAAGTCGACGCGAATCATCATGCCACCCAGGCGCTCTGTAACTAAAGGGTATTTTAAAGAGGATTAAGGATAGAACACAAAACAGAAAATACCAGTGCATCTCACACCCAGTAGAATAAGAATTCTTTCATGAAATGTATGTCATACTTTTTACTATTGGCCAGTCCCTGTCAAAAAGCAGCATGAAAGGGCTGGATTTAACAAAAAGGGCACCCTGAGTGGGTTTCCTAGCTGCTGAGTGTCCAACCCTTGATTTTCGGGGTCATGATCCTATTGGTCATGAGATGGAGCTCGTGTCAGGCTCCAGCTGGAGCCTGCTTAAGATATCTTCCCACCCAGCCCCACCCTGCTCCTCCTCCGCACTGCACCCCTTGCCCCCCTGCTCCTCTCCCAGCTTGTGTGCTCTCTAAAATAAATATATAACAAAATAATTTTTTTTCTTTTTAAAATTTTTTTTTTTCTAAATGCTTTTATTTATTTTTTTTTTTTGGGACACAGAGCATGAACGGGGAGGGCAGAGAGAGAGGAGACACACCCGGGAAATGGCTCCAGGCTCGGTGCCATCAGCTCCAGAGTTTTGACGCGGCTCGGAACTGTTTGACCGCCCAGATCGTGACCTGGTTGTCGGATGCGACATCACCGGAAAAACACCCAGGCGCCCCAATAATTTTTAAAAATAGAGGCGCCTGGGTGGCTCAGTCAGTTAAACATTCAACTCTTGGTTTCTGCTCAAGTCATGATCTCATGCTGGTTGGTGAGTTCAAGTCCCATATCAGGCTCCATGCGGAGGCTGCTTGGGATTCTATCTCCCAGTCTCTGCCCCTCCCCCACTTTCTCTTTCTCTCTCAAAATAAATAAATAGACTTAAAAAAATTTTTTAATAAAAAACATAACTCAGAAAATCATGAGGAAACTATGCTAATTTTTTATGGATCTTTTAGTTTCCATTTTCAACAGCATCAAGTGATTCTATTATACAAGATGGGAGATAGCCTTGTAACACTTCCTCCTTTCTCCTCATCTCCCAATTTTGTTGTGCATATTATTTGTAGCGCTTCAGGTTTGCAACATTGACACTCTGTTCTGCAACCATAATTAGCATAACTGCTTTCTCCCAATTCCAAGTTTAAATGGATTTGGTGCTCATCTCAAATCCTTGCCTGTGGCTTTTCCACTCCTGACGAATTTCATTCTGACTCATGTTGGTTTACTGACTTCATCCTCCAGTGACATCTTTAAAAGCACCCACAGGAGCTGGAATCCTGATTTATAAATGTCTGTTCCCACTATTAATTACAAACAACTTGGCTAGATGTCCTAGATCGTACCATCGTTCCTTGAGAACCATGTAGACTTTTAGACATCACCTCAACTGCTCTGAATGCAGCTAGGGAGAAATCTGAAATGAGTCTCATGTTTTACCTGTGAAGATAAATCATTTTTTCAATTTAGAAATCTAAAAAATACTTATTTATTTATTTATTTATTTATTTATTTATTTATTTATTTATTTTTGAGAGAAAGAGCAAGTGAGCGAGCATGTGCTTGCACAGGAGCAGGGGAGGGGCAGAGGGAGAAAGAGAATGTTAAGCAGGCTCCATGCCCAGCATGGAGCCCAGTGTGGGGCTCAATCCCATGACCCTGGGATCATGACCTCAGCAGAAATCAAGAGTTGGACACTCAACCGACGGAGCCACCTAGGCACCCCTAAAAAATCTTTATTCTTCAAGTAGGATATATCTTGTGGCGTTACCAATTTTTCATGGTACATGCTGAACAATGAATCTGCAAGCTCAATTTTTTTTTTACAGAGAAATGTTCCCATATTTGACAGTGGGTTGACTGCTTATCCTATTTCACTGCTGGGGTCTTTCCTTTAGGAGCACTACCTATCCTCACACTGGACAACCTGTTTCCCATATCCATCCTCTTCTCGCTAATGCTGTTAGCTCTGACCTGCATCCATTGGTTTCAGTTCTAGCCATGCTCATTCTGCTCCTTGCTGTCTGGTTTGTTAGTTGTAACAGTGAGACTTGGTTTATAATGTTTTCCCTTAGTTTTGCAATTTTCCTTTTTGTTTCATTCTGCTTATGAGCTCAGATTTTTTAATAAATTATTTCTTGTGCAAATTGTTACAGGGTCCCTGCCTTTGTTCCTCAGTGTAAGTTTTCTTCCTGACTGAGTTCGTGTGTTTCTTTTTTTGTCCCCCACCCTGTGTGGGGGACAGGCTACGCTATGTCAGCACAGTGGCCATGTCATTTCTTTCTACCCTGCTCATAGTTAGGGCACTTCCTCCACACTACATAAGTAGCTCTAATATATCACCAATGAATTTTCTGGGGCACTCTCCCAAATATAAGCTCAATTTGCCCTTTCCTTAAAACCATAATTTTAAAGCAGGTGTTGCTCTCAATTCACTTGTCTGTAACCTATGTCTGCAGAGACAGAAGAAGGGAGATCATAGGGCTAGTGCTGCACACAATCCTTGCCAGAGAGCCTGGACTTTGTTCTCTCTCAGAGATCCCCTTTAAGGTACGCCTGGCTGCCCAGCAAGAGGAGTGCAGTCAGCAGACAACCCCCAACCACCAGTTCCTTCAGGGTCTGCTACAGCTGCAGAGATGCACCCCACCCAAGGTCACAGGCTTCCTGCAGGAGTCCATGTACAGTGATTGAGCAAAATGGGAGAACAGGGCTCCTGGGTGGCTCAGTCGGTTAAGTGTCCGTCTTCAGCTCAGGTCATGATCTCACAGTCCATGAGTTCAAGCCCCGTGTCAGGCTCTGTGCTGACAGCTCAGAACCTGGAGCCTACTTCGGATTCTGATTCTGTGTCTCCCTCTCTCTCTGCCCTGCCCCTGCTTGCACTGTCTGTCTCTCTCTCTCTCTCTCTCTCTCTCTCTCTTGCTCTCAAAAATAAATAATAAACATTAAAAAAAATTTTTTTTAAAGAATGATGGGGTATCTTTGTTTAAAAGGTCATTTAGCTGTTATGGTTATTTCTTCAATTCACCACATTTCCTACCACTGCATTGACCTGGCTCAAGTGCCATCTCCATAAAGAGTCCTGGGCTCTCTCTCCAGCTTCTCATTCACAATTACCCATTTGTCACCCTCATGTGCCAGACACTGATTTGGCAAATGATAGCTTTATTATTTCATTTTGTCCTCAGAACAACCCTCTGAGATAGGTACCATTATTCCCAGCATATACGTGGGGAATAGAGGCTGAGAGGTTGTATGACTTGACCAAGGTCACGCAGCTAAGATGTGATAGTTGGGATTTGGACCTGTGCTCACTCCATACTACCCTCCAGCTGTGCACATTGCTGCCCTGACTGGCTCACGCCAGCAGGGGCCAGGGGGCGTGGTGGTTAAGTGCGAAGGCTAGTGCATGGCTGCCCATCTCATAGGGCTATTTTGGGGATTAAAGGAGTTAGCAAGTTTGAGACTGCCTGGAGCAGTGTCCGTGCTCCTTGTAAGCACTCCCCACGCTGTCACTCTATTACCACCTGCACCAGACATGAAATACCACACACCCACTGCCTCTCGACCCCACTGTGCAATGAGCTCCCCGAAGAAGCCTCTGCTTCTGTCCAGGCCCCACACAAAATCCTACTGACTGAGCCCCGAGCCCACTCACAGCATCTGGATAGGACTGTCAGGGCCCACCTCCACCCAGAACCATTTCCTGCCACCTTCATCCGTTGGGTTCTGAAGCTGTTGCTGGTGACACAGGGAGTGGAAGGTGTCCTCTTCCTGCCAGATGATTCGATGCAGGATGATCCAGGGCAGCACTGAGGAGACATGGGGCTCCTTGGGCTCCTCTTGGACGGCCATGCTGCAGTCAATGACCTGGGAGAGGGAGAACAAGGGTGTCACAGTAGGGCCAGCTCTCCCTCCAACCCTCTGGGGTGACCCCTCAGGGCAGAGGCGGGGACATGACTAGAAAGCACTCCAGCACTCCAGTCATCAGAGTCCCAGGGTACCCAACAACAGTGGTAAGCCCAGGCATCAGAAGAGCCCGCTCCGGCAGTCCTCCCTATGCCACATGCAGTTCCTGAGGCCCTCTGCACCTATTGTGTGCCAGGACCCATGCCAGACGTGAGGGTTACAGAGGTGAGCAGGGCACGGGGGAGGTGACAGCCTGGGGGGAAGAGAACCACAGACAAGCCACTCAAGAGTTAAGAATCAGTATAGTCGCTGTAATTAAAGCAAATGAGGGCCACAGTGGGGTCGCAGAGGAAGGGTAGGGACAGACAGAGGAGAACCTTGATGTTTCCAGGTGAGTGGTTGTGGTGGAACCAATACTGAAGAGGGCAGGAACTAGGGGTACAGGACAGGCATGCAGGCAGAGGCAGACAAGGAAGTAGATGGAAGTGGATGAGTGGAGAGGAGGCCGGGCAGGTTCAGACACCTTGGGTGATGGGCAACCAGGGGGAACATGAAGGGTTGAAGGGAGGGAGGAGCACACTGGTATTTCCATGTCAGAAAGGTGCCTCTGTGGCAGGGTGGTGGCTGCACCAGGAGTGTAGAGGGGCGGGGAGCACGCTCCCATAGTTCAAGTAAGAGACTCTGCCTGGGTTAAGGCAGAGTGCTACAGATGCAGAGGAGAAACAAAGGATGCGGATGTTATGGACATGGATTTGGCAAGACCTGCGCTGATGGCCTGAAGAGCTGTTGTCCGGAAAGAGCCAAGGGTGGCTTCAGGAAAGTTTCCTGCTATGAAGCCCACCTGGACGATGCGGAGTACTGGGACCACCCCTTGGCTAGGAGAGCCAGGACAACGTGGGGTGGTGGAGAGCCCCGGCAGGGAGACAGAGGGCCTGGGTTTCAGCCCCAGCTCTACCTCCTGCTGACCACACACAGGTCAGGGCCTCCTGCTCTGAGCCCGCTTCTGTCACTCAGGGATGGGTGGTCTGGAAGAACCCTGTGATGCCAAGTGCTCAGTAAGCTGCAACCCCCAGACCCGACCAGTCCCAGGAAGGTGTGCGGCCAGTGCGCAGCCACCCACTACCTGAGGTGCCCGCTTCCTGCAGCCAGAGTAGCCAAGGCGCCCCTTTGGGGTCCCTAGCTTGCAGTGAAAGCCAGTGAGCTACGGAGGGGGAATTCCGAGAACCACACCTGCTGGTGCAGGGCAGCGCACGAAGGACTGGGAGATTACCTGGATGAGGTTGTTGGTGAGCCGGGTGAGGCCAGTGGAGGACGATGATTCCTTCAGGATGCTGCCACTGCTGTCAGCCGAGAGTGCCTGCTCGATGCCCAGCAGTAGCTGGGTCACCGTGGCCACCCACTCTTCCTTGGCTGCGGACTCACTCGCATTCACCATCTGCTGGACGGCCTCGTGCAGAGCCACATCGGAGCACTCAAAACACTGCCGGTGGTCCTTCAACCGGAGCAAGGAGTCCTGAGCACAGGGAGGGGCGAGGAGGAGGGCGTGCCGTGAGAGGACTGTGATGGCGCTCTCCACGCCTGGTCCTCAGGACTGAGGGGCAGTCCAAAAAAAGGGGAAGCGGAGGCCTTCCACGGGCCTTGAGGCATCTGTGAGGTCACGTGGCGATCTACGTGCAATCACGGCATGGCGTGTGCCAGCCAGCGGGCTTTCAGAAAGGTGCTTGACCTCTGCACCTCAGTTGCCTCATTTATGAAGCTGGGACACAGAGGCCAGAGTGGGCAAACTGCCAAGGTGAGACTGAGTGACTCCACCACCTCTGTCAGCTCTCACCCCAAGCCACTGTGCCCCAGGCCACCCAGTCATGTGCTCATCCAGTGCCACAGCGCTCAGGGGTCTCAGCAGGGGAGGGGTCTCAGCAGACTGTCGGGGAGGGACTCTCTCTGCAGAAGAGGACCTGAGCCAAGGTCACAGTAGAGGCAACTAGCCAGGCAGCACTGAGGTCATCGTTCTAAGAGTCCCCATCTCCGCCCCCCACAACAGGTACCCTCGTGGAAGAAGGTGACTGGGAGCATGAAATGAGCTGTTGTACCTAGCACACTCAGCACCGTGTCCTGGCACATGGAACTCTCAGAACACCACACTATTTTAAAATCCCCTCTTTGGGAGCCATCATCTTTTGTGAAGCTCCCTTTCCTTTTGCTCTAGAACATAACCCATTTAAGCACCTCAGTCTGAGCCGCTTTCATCATCATGCTGCTGTGTGAGGAAACTCGGTCTGGCTGTGAATTTGCAGATCTGGCAGGCGGCCTGTTAGACCAGCAGGAAGCACCTGCCAACCGGTGCCCCCTCAGGCTCTGACCTCGCTGCAGCTGAGGGCTGGCAACAGCTCCACGCGACACAGCTCTTTGAGGTAACACAGACAGGGGTGGGGCAGAAATGCCCAAAACCGCCTTTGGGATGTGCTGCAGTATCTGAACATAGATCAAAACCACCCCCAATTTAAAAGCCCTAATTGCCAGGAAAATGGGTCCTGTGTTTCTTTAGAGAAAGCCAGCACTCTTCAGCAGGAGGCCAGAGGTATGAAGGAGCCTATGGGGTGCAGACATGGAACCCAAAGGCTGACCCTTTCTGATCAAACACCAAACACGTGAGGGACAGGGGCTTATTTTGTAGCAGGATAAAGACTGTGGACCTGAAAGTGCAGCCAGCATTGCCATGAAAGTCAGGGACAAGACAAGGACCCATCAGCAATGCTCTAATGTGACATAATGCCCAGGGCTCAAACTTAGAAAGAGCTAAAGAGCACAAGAATAACTGCCAACAAGTGAGGAGACCAAATTACCGTTGACTGTGGGCAATATGATCGTCCACCCGAAAAAAACAGAAACTATCAGAAATAATGGGAATGAAGCACAGTGGCTAGATTTAAAATAAACATGCAAAAAACCAGTTGGGTTCCTATAAACCAGAAATGCACAGTTGGAAAACATAATGACCAAAAAAAGACCCTGCTCAAAATCGCAACCAAAAATATCAAGAACTTAGAATCAATTCAACCTGGAGAAACTACATGATTATAGCAAAGACCACAAAAGGCAGCTTGCCCAAATAGAGAGGGAGACCCATCATACTGCTAGAGGGGAGGATTCAGGCCCTCCCTCCCCTACATACACCGTATAAAAGCTAGATGAAGCACAATAAACATGAAACATTAACACCACTAGAAGAAAACAAAGGCAAACAGACTTTTAATCTATTTGTTGACATGCTTCTTGTCTGTCTCCCTTCTAAAATATAGGTTCTGTCAAGCGGGCCTTCTCCCCTGTCCAGTGCCAGACACGCTGTAGGAACTCAATCCATGTGTGTAGAATGAGTGGATAAATATTCTTCCAGTCTTGAAAAGGCTATCTAAGCATAATAAACAAAATCATAAATGTTTGCAAATATCAAAAGATTTGACAACACAAAATTCACAACTTTTAAAAAGGCCACAATATAAAAGCAAACTGGCATGGGGCGCCTGGGTGGCTCAGTTGGTTGAGCGTCCAACTCATAATTTCAGCTCAGGTCATGATCCCAGGGTTGTGGGATCAAGACCCGCATCGCACTCCATGCTGAGTATGGAGCCTGCTTAAGATTCTCTCCCCCGCCCACCCCCCACCCCCCCGCTCTGCCCCTCTCCCCTCTTGTGCTCACTCCCTCACTTTAAAATAAAAAAATAAATAATAAATAAATAAAAGGAGACTGGGAAAAAAATATTTCCAACATTTGATGAAAAAAAGATTAGTATCTTTAAAATATAAAAAGCACTCCAAATCAATAAGAAAACACACCCCCTCTGTAAGAAATTGAGGAAAAAACAAGAGTCACTTAATTCTCAAAAACCAGGTACATCGACAGCACTTGGCCCAGGCCTTACCACAGCCCTCTCAGTACTGCTCAGTGCCCATCCAACCCAACAATGGAGCATCCCGCCACACCCAAGAGTTCTGGACGACAGGAGCAAGCTGACATCTGAATCACTGGGGCCTTCTTATCAGGCACACCGAGGGCTAGCCTCTCCCCCCTCCTTCTCCCCACCTAATGGCCTCCCTGGTACACCCAGACATCCCTCCCACATGCGGTCATGCTGGACACTCCTCCACTCCACCCCCCAAGCCTGCCATGGTAACTGAAGTCAGACAAATCTCATTCCCTGATCTCAGCATGAACCAGCCTGAGCCTACTCTGCCAGGAGCTAGAACCTCCCTTTCCTCCCTCCCAATGTCCCTCCCTCTCCCCCTCCTCCCTCCCTTCCTTCTTTCCTTCTCAGAATCAACTGTTTCCTCTCCTTTCACCACGATGGAGATGCCTCCATTTGCTCCTATAGTCATACCTCTTAACTATTTCCCAGTTCAAGAAAGTTAGTTGAAATGTCTCAATATGAACAAAATGCCTGGGAGAAGATTGGGCTCTCTTTCCAAATTGGAGGGGAAGGACCCAATAAGATAATAAATATAACATGATTAGTGTGTGACCCATAGAAATGGGATGCCAGGCCACCCAACACCATTTAAGCACATCATGTTTATCACCTTCCAAGTTTATCATCCAACCCCATGCTTCCCAAAGATGGCAGCACTGATGACAGTCGGCACCCATACGGTGCTTGCTACATGCCAGGCATGGTGCCAACATACACTAACTTGTATAAACCCTACAGCAGGTCTCTGAGGGATGAACGATGATCATCTCCATTCTAGAGATGAAGAACCAAGGCACAGAGAGACTGAGAAACTGCCCGGTGCCCAGCAGATCCTGATGCCCAGCGAGCTCTCAGTAAGAGTTTATCTCCTAAAGAAGAAAGGCATGGAGGGAGCCGAGAGGGTGCATGGCTTCAAAACACCACTGTGGTGTTCTTTTTCCTCAAGCACATGATTGTACATGGGTATTTATTTGATCTTGATTACATCGTAGAGTTTGTCCATTTTAACAACTACTCAAAGCTCAATTTCAAAGGTAATATAGAAAGACAGGCAGATGAACAAATGGGTGAATGGATGGGTGACATCCTGACTTTTCTGCCTTCCTCCTCTGCCAGGCAGACGTTCTGATTCAAGTGTGGGCTCATTTTGAGCCACACAGAACCCTGGAACCTGCACTCCTAGGTTCCAGCTTTCTGCCAGTCTTGACCGTTATCTTCTAACTAGCATCTTCCTAGATGCCAGTTAGCAGTTTTTACTCCTACTATTTTCTTCTAGATGCGTGTTCTTGAAAGCCACCTCAAAGCCTTCAAAGAATAAACTCACAACCAAGCAAAGAAGGTATGAGGTCAGAGTGAGGGGAACTGTGGGCACACACACCTGCAGCAGCAGCAGCTGGGCTGGTCTCTCTGGAATGGAAGTCATAAACTCCAGGTGTTTGGCTCGGTCAAATCCACTGGTACACAAGGTTGGGTGGAGCAGATGCACAACGGCTTTGTAGTCACCAGCCTCGTACAGCCGCTGAATCTCCTCCAGGGACTGGCACCGCTCCAGCGACTTCAGGTTCTTATCAATCTGGAAAAGGCCCAGAATGCTGCCCGATGACAAACCTCTCACACTCTCTGAATCTGGCCAATGTCTGCATTTACCAGACCCAGATGAGGAGTACAAAAGTAGACTCCCCGTCAGTACATCAGCATTTATATAAAACAAATGCTTTACAAAAAGTACTTCTAGGGGCGCCTGGGTGGTGCAGTCGGTTAAGCGTCCGACTTCAGCCAGGTCACGATCTCGTGGTCCGTG